CAGCAACGTCTTCTCACAGAACATCTCATTCCATCACCGTAACAACCCTGGAGTAGGAAGGATGGATGTTTTTGTTTCTATTTTGCAGAAAAACTATAAATTGAAGCTTAAAAGACACAGTTAACTTTTCAGAGGTAGGAGTAGAAAGCAAGTTTCTTTATGCTCATGTTGAATGTTAATAAAATATTGATCTTACGGTATTCTATCGCTTTGGAAACTGGCAATCCCTTTAAACGATTTATAATAAACTTCAGCCAGAAATCTGACAATATGAACACCCCCTTCGAAGTCATGGCAGGTAAGAAAGTTCATACGTTACATTCAAATGGTATGACCTCAATCAGCACTAAAGGTCACATGGGAAACAAAAGCAGGGCCACTGGAAATTTCAATTGGAACAAAATAAACCTTGATAAAGAGGATGGAGAAATTGAGACAACAAAATATCATAAATTAAGGCTTATTGTTTAAAAGAACCTCACTTTAAGAATAAGAGGAAAGATGGAGTTGTAAGAGGTGTCAAGTTTGGTTGGGAATGTTTTTTGAAAGTTTCTTTTCCCAGGATTTATCATTTCAGTGAGTAAGGTCAGCGCATGAACTAAGAAGTGAATCAACGTTGATCATTTTATGTAGTTTCTTTAAATACTCTTGGCTCTTTGTACTCAACAGTTTCGTTATAATTGGAAAGTAAAATCCTTTGAGTAGCTCGCCATACTTTACACACCAATTGTGCAAGGATCGGTAATTCCTCTTCAGCTTCCTTTATCTTTTGGTATCAGTTCGTCACACCTAATTTACATAAAAGTCTTGCTGTACAGTCGCATACCCCTTGATAGACAGACAGTCCTCGACTTATGATGGTTCAGCTTGTGATTGTTTAACTTTACACTGGTGCGAAAGCCATACGCTTTCACTAGAAAGTGTACTTTGAATTTCGATCTTTTCCCAGACTAGTGTTATGGTGTACGATGTTCTCTCGTGGCCCTGGGCAGCAGCAGGGAGCCCCAGCTCCCAGTCAGCCAGACGATCAAGACGGTAAACAACTGACACACCGACAGCATTCTGTACCCATCCAAGCATTCTGTTTTCACTTTCAGTACAGGGTCTGATCAATTACATGAGCTAGTCAACATTTTATTATAAAATAGGCTTGTGTCAGATGACTTTGCCCAATTGTAGGCTCATGTAAGTGTCTGAGAACATTGAAGATTGGCCAGGCTAAGCTGGGATGTTTGGGAGTTTAGGTGTATTAAATGCATTTTCAATTTATAGTACTTTCAACTTACGACAGGTTTTTCGGGACATAAGCCCATTGTGAGTCGAGAGGCACCTGCAGCTATGTAAACTTACGGGGTCAGTTTGAGCTTGAGAGAAATCTTATGGCCAAATTTTAAAATGGAGGGAGATGAAGAGCTGGGAATTTTGAACATTTATCCTAACGGTGAAGGAAAGAAGAAAGCAACATTTATTACAATTTGGTGCTTAACCTGGCTGTCCACATTTGTCCTCTCTGAGGGAATTTTAAGGAATAAATAGTTAATACTCACTGCAGCCAGCTCTGCACTTCAGCCTTATTTACCCTCATATCCAATATGAACTATTTCCCTGAACCCAGAAATGATTCCCCGTAAGATGCATACATGACAGTAATCTGCTCCCACTTAAAACTGCGTTGAATTCGGTGCCTCAGAGTAACTCAAGGTGAATTTTACACTTCTGTCTCATTTAATGTAATGCGCCAGAAGCATGGCTGTGGTGAGGAAGGCTTATTCACGGAAGTCGTGAGGTAGACAAAAAGCGCAAAAATTGTATTTTTCACAACGATCTGGGGGCACACCCGCGGGAGAGGAGAAAGCTGCAGACGACGTCCCTAGCTAGTAACCTTCTTCCTGATTCCATCTCGATTGTGCTGAAACCAGAGCACAGCTGGGGTCCAGGCAGGCACCCCAGACCTGGGAGTGACACCCAGACCACGACGCAAGAGCTTGACAGTTTAAACCTATGGATGTCTCTGGTTGGCCTCCATTTGAGATCTTAATATTGGGGTGGCAGAAAAATCGGGGGGGAGTTTCGGAAATGCAGACTTTGTATATTGGGTTTTCTTGTTTAGAAATTTTGATTTATTGAACGTTATAAAATTACCTCCAAAAATACAAGCTACATTTATGATTGGCAACATTTAGAAAACTTATTAGTCCCTGATACGGGGGTCTCCTTATCCTTTACTGCTGGAGATAAAAGTTCCCTCAAGAAATGCCCAAGAAGACATAAGGTCCCATCACAGGTTTTTCTCAAAGGAAGAAACTACCTAATGAATACCTCAGACTACGGTGAGGCGGGCTTTGCTGTTGTCGTTGTGTTAATATAGATGCCCTTTCTTGATGAAATACAAGACGTGGTCTCAGTTTTAGTGAGTTCCATGTTCGTAACTTGATTTTCTCTTGTTTTAAGGGAATAAGCCATTCACCTTTGCTTCATGTCATCTTGTACAATATTGCTGTGAAATGGCAGCCTTAGCGTTGGGGCGGATACATGCTAAGGGCAGGTCGCTCTGTGTGTACTGATATGCATAATTATTTTATTTTGGTATTCCCTTTCATCCAAGATTTCAAAAGACTTTGTAAACATTTCAATTAAATTTTGTAGCAATTGTCTTAAAAGGATAAATAGGAAAAAGTCAAAGCCTTCTTAGATGTAAGCTCCTTGAAGGCACAGACAATTTTCACTATATAAGGAACTCAGACTTACTAGATAGAGTATTATCCTTGACATTTAATAAACATTTAACCCGTATTTTAAAGGTAAAATGTACAATTGCTCTTCACATTGCATCTTTACTTTTTCTATTTCCTCAAACTAATACAAATGTCTTCTCATGGTTCCCTTGTATTATTTATTTCTATATTACTAAGAAAATAGAAATCTTATAAACTAATGAAATCTGCAAGCCTAGTAATATACTGCCATTGCCAAGGTGTCTATATTTTGAAAGAGAAGCCATGTCTTGATTTACTTAGAATAAGTGATCTAATTATGTAAGGTGTTCAGGATGGACTTCACCTGTCACATATGTAAGTGCTCAATTAATTGTAATTATATGACAGTAGTAGTAATATAAAAACTGATTTATATAGACATATTTCTAATTTTATAATTTGGCACAATCTGGCAGATTCATTGGGGGCACAACATTTGGCGGCCAGGAATGTCTTCTGGTGGCTATACAAACCATACCATGTGATCTAGAAGAGATGGAAAGATGATTGATCTTGCTTTAAGTGAAGTCAAGTCCACAGGCAGTAGATAGACTATTGCTGTCCTTGTCCTAGCTACAAGTAATCAAGCAATGCACATGAGAGCCAGGACAAGGGAAAATTCAGTCAAACTGGATGACGTGCTCATGTGCTTAAAGTCAGCGTGAGTTAAAAATTGACTCAAGTTACCAGATCAGGTTGAAGCTATAATCAAATAATACTTTAGCTGTGTTAAGTTACCCACAGTATCTGAATATTTGCCTCAATTTTCTTATCTGTATAATGAGGATAATAATAAGCACCAACTTCATCTTGTTATTGTGAATTAGACGAATTAATTGACTAATAGCTCTGACACGGTGGGGAGGGTTTTCCTCAAGTGCAAGGTTGGGACATAGGGCTGAATAAAGGAATTTTTTTCTGCTTCCTTCTCTATCCATCTTCGTATCTAGCTTGTACTCTGAACTATTAGCATTTTTGAGGCATTTTCACGGTTAAGGGAAAGGAATACTGAATATTTGAAATAGGTGTACAGATGCTATGCTATGTTCATTGTTCATGTGCTTCCAAGTTAAATACTCATTTTCCAATGGATACGTTACTACACAGCTGCCATCTTAACTAAAATAAAAATATGTAATCACTGTAACAGAGAGGTTTAAAACCCTAGTACAAGAAAATAAGAAAGATCAGAAGGCTAGGAAAATATGGTCTGTTTTTGTCTGGGTATTTTTTTTGTTTTTTGCTGTGTTTTTAAGTTACGAGCAGCCTTTGATTATTTGTTATCCTATTGTTCTGAATTATAAATTACCAACGCCTTCCCCTGCCTCTGCGTATCTTGCTGTCTGCTTCTGAGTCATCTCACAAATCACCCAGGCTGCCAACATATGGGGTAGTCGGAGAAAATGGGAAGAGGCTAAAACGAGTCATTTTGTTCTTTGCTGATGAGTATGGTTCCAGGTTGAAACGGACAGAGTGAAAGGCAAATTTAAGGATTATTTTTATTTATCCACGCTACTGTTTTGTTCTATCGTTATATTTAACTGAAAGTTCATTGGCTATCATAGTTTAGTGGCTTAAAGAAGAGCTAAACACCAGACTGAAAATTCTGCAGTTTAGAAACTTTCGTTTCAAGATTTGGACCATTTCTCACTTTGAGGTTAAGCGCATCACATATTCTCTGTACTAGTTTTCCAACCTATAACATGAGAAAAGTAACTTCAACTTCATTTCTTGACACAATACTATATATTAAAGAGTTTGCGACATTACAATGTTGCAATTTTATGACAAATGCAGTGTTGGTAGTCGCTGTGCTGCCTTCAGATGAGTTCAAATGTCTATTTCTCCCAGGCATTGTAAGCAAGGGCTTGGTGCTGTGATGTAAATTCTTAATAGTTTACTTACCCAGCTTATCATCTCTAGTTGAGGAGTCACAATGCGATTCTTACTCTTATCACAGTTGCCTGAATACAAAGCACCCAATTCTATGCTATGCAGATGATCCCAGAAAAATTTTGAAAGACTCAGAATCACGGGTCCTGACTTATTGACAGTTATCTAAAATCAAAACCTGCTTTTATCATCAAGTGTTCCACATATAAATGCATTATAGCTGCTTATAAATCTATAAAAGAGCCTGTAAGCCTCTGCAATACGGAACAAGAGACAGCAAGGCAACAGAACCACAGTAAGTCCACATGACATCAAAACACTTAATATATCTAAAATGAGAAGCTTGCTTACCTAGCATGCAAACACATTTGACATTCTGTTCAGGGTTTTCAAACAAGATTTCGCCACACCTCTGAAAGAAAAAGAAAGCCGTAGTTATTTTAAGATTTCATATCAGGATTCCCAAGGCAACATATGCACACCTAGGCAACCTCACATCACGATGTCATTTTTCTACTCTCAAGTTTCCCTTGGCTCCTGAGTCTGGGGACAGGGAGCAGAGACTTGCCTGGCAGTAATGTACTTGAGAAGCAAGTTGGGCTAGATTGCCCTGCATGCCTCGTGGACCTGCCCAGAGCTGATTCTGGGCGCTCCCGTGACAAGTCACGGCCAGAGATACAGCCAGCCTCTAATGGGTTCTATTTCAGTGAAAGACATGCAATCTATTAGATCTAATAATCAGAGATTAATCACTCTCAAAATTGGTCCTTATACAGCACCCAAATAACTCTAAATTACCCACTCTGTAATCAAGCACAGACATTACCAAGCACAAAGGTACATGGCCTATACTTAACTCTCTGAACTTGGGGAAAAAACAAATAAGAAATGATGAAAAAGTGGTACTCAGAATGCTTTCCCACAGACTCCACTCAGAATGCTGAACCCACAGACTCATGGAAGTATCAACTTTCTTCTCTATATCTCAGTTTTAACTTGCTTGTTAAAACTTGTGTGCAAGGCAAACTCCAGAGATATAATCAGTCATTTAAGAGTAGATCACATTTATGTATATGATTGATAAATGGTTAGTACCTGGATATGTAAAGAAATACTCCAAATCAATAAGAAAATAACAAATAATCCAATAGAAAAATGGATAAAGGACGTAAACAAGCTATTCATGGAAGAGGCAATCTGCATGGTCAATAAACACAGAGAATATACTCAAGCATGCTAATAACCAGGACCAGCAAATTAAAGATAAAGTGAAGCCTATTTTGAACTCATTGGTGTGGCAAAACTTAGAAGTCTGGCAATAACAAGTGCTATCAAGAATGTAGAGAAGTGAATATGCTCACACACTGTGGATTGCAGTATAAAATGATAGAACCATTTTGGAGAAAAATTGGCAAAGTCTTACTCGATTTCTACTTGCTACTTAGCAGATTTCAACCTTAGTAAGTTGAAATGTGCATGCCCTACGACATAGAAAGTCACCTTCCAGACCGTAACTAGAGACATTTTCCCCAACGACTTCAACGTCCAGCTAAGAAACAGATAAGTAATGTTATTCACACATTAGAATACTACATGGCAGTTAAAATGAATGAATTAGTGCCACATGTACTGTAAAAACATATTATACGTATATGATATGCGCATATAAATATATAATATTCAAATTGTGTAATGTTCAAATCATATAAAATACTATTTTCAAATCATATTATATATAACATTTAAGTCATATAAAAATACAACGTTAAGCAAAAAAACTATCTCCACTCTATGAAGTTGCAAATAGCTAAAGGTAGTATATGTTGTTTATGGATACATTAATTCACAGAAAAAGCATAAAAACATCAATGAGTAATGAACATCAAATTCAGGGTAGGGCGAAGATATACAGAGTAATGAAATGGTGGAGGATGTACAGAGGTTATCAACTCTTTCTGTAATGATTTGTTCCTTAACTTATTCTCTAAACTGCTTTTTATGCTTGAAATATTTCATAAGAAAGAACTGCCCCCGTAATCGACACTCTGAATATGAAAACGGCCCTCTGCATGCTGCTTCTCCGCACCTGGCTCCCTGGGCTCACAGAGGCCGTTGAGCATCAGATTGGACTGCCTTCCCCAATACCTTGTTTTCGCCACTTATTTCTCATACTCAAAAAGATTGAGCACATGCTACACCTGCCCATTTTCCTCTTTCACTGTTTGCAACGTGGTTAATTCTACTCCTGTCTGTCTTTATCGTACCTGCGCTTAATATGTTATAAGACAAAGTAATTTCTGGGGGAAAAAATACTCCTGGATGGGAGAATTCACGTTCCACACACCTCCTGATGAAATCCTCTGGTACAAAGAGGGGCAGAGGGGAAAGGATGACTCATTACATCCACATCAACCCATTTTCTGTGAGGACCTGCATTGTGCACAAAGAGATGGACAGTTGGCTCAGGGGCAAGAAAAGGAAGCAAGCCGCTTTGATGAGTCAAGAGAAGGACCGGAGGCGGGAGATGAGGTGTGCCTGAGGGTTGTAAGAGGGCATTGAATCCGAGGGGGACAGTCTATATCGTGCGCTCTTTTCTTGGCTGCTCTGCTGACCTAATATCAGGAGGAATTTATCCTGCTATCTAATCTCTTCACGCTTCACTTCTTTGTAAGTAATGTCGGATGCTGACATATGCCACAAAGTCAGATCAGAGAGCAAATGGGAGAGTTAACGACCCGTGCAATCTGACCTGACTATCTGTTCCTGTTCTGCTTGTCTTTTGGCTGAGGTTAAACCCTTTCCAATCGCTAGGATCCATTTCCTGCTTCTTAAAGTGGTATTTTTTATGACCTGAAAGAGTTAATAATTATTTTTAAATTAAAGATCAGAGGTTTCTGAAGTGTTTTCAACTTCTTGGCAAAACAAATTGCTAGGAAGCTCAATCAACCCACACTCTGGGTTCTACAGGGAGGTGATTCTGGAGTCCAGCCTCATGTGTGTGCCGGGATGGGCGAGCTTTCCTGCTTTGCAGCCGATGGCGGGTGGAGGTTGCATAACTTCCAGGGCTACCCAAGTCCAAGGGCAGCCTCATGTACACCCCTCAAGACACAGAAGGCTCTGGGTGGGGGTGAAGCTGTGGGGGTCTTGCTCTCTTTCCTGGACAAGAACAAATCCAGGAGAAGTTTCTGAAACTCCTGTGAAACCTGTGTACGTTAGCAGTCCTGGGCTGCCTGGGCTCACTGACCACACAGGCTAATGACAGAGCAGCAAGGGTGGGCATGGTGACCCTTCCAATGACCACGAGGCAGTTGTCCTCCTCCTTTTCATCTCCCTGGCCATCTGGGAAACGGCTGAGGCACCTCTAACTAATTCTTTAACTGCCCTGCTTTGTAAAGGCACCTGATTTTAAAGCAAGGCTCAGAAGGGAATCTGATTGTTCTCAGGACTTGAAAGAAACCAGATCCTTTCCATGCTTTTTCTCATTGATGCCAGTGTTTACAGGGCCTTTGCTGCCGGGCTCCTGCGTGCTGTGCAACCCAGGGTGATGACCCAGTTTAGGGGATTAATTGGCTAAGTCACGAGGTCCGAGTCTCAAAAAGCTGCAGGATCTGCCATGGGGGAAGGTCTCGGGCCCCGTTGGATTCTTCGGAGCTGCAGCCCTCCTCCCTTGCTGCTCTACCTGGCCTTGGATGCTGGGATTCCCCCTCCCAATGCCCTGCTGCTGGGTGACCCTGACTGGGATCCAGTTCTGATCACCAGGCTCTGCCTAATTCTCAAAATTCCATCTCTCCATGGGATCTCCATCTTTGTTTTATTTTTTGTGCCTGAAATACTGAGACCAACTTGCATTGTTTGTGTCCATCTCTCCCAGCCAGCACTGCCCCCAAATAATAGGGCGTAGTTATTGAGATCCCCGCCCAAGAGGCTGGAGCCGGGTTGGCAACAGAGAGATCCTGCTGGCACATCTTTCCCTCCCATTGCACATAGGCTATGCTGCACAGGAGCCCATGAGTGTGATGCCTGCTGCTCTCATAGACCAGGAAGAATCAAGCCACTTTCATTGCTAGTGTTCCTAACATGCCTCGTTGTTGTCACACTGGTGCCTTACATGTACCAGACCCTTAATAAAGACTTGTACACTCGCTAACACTGATTTAGCCTGTACCAAGTGCTGAACATTGTTCTAAGTGCTGTATGTCTACCATCTCATATCCTCTCATCATAGTCTTTTAAGAGAGTAAAAATTGAGGCTCAGAGAGTACCACTCACTATAGAATACTCCCCTCCAATGAGTCAGAGATGAAGGCTGATAGTGTACCCGATGCTTGACCAGTATATACTGATTTCTGAAGACTGTTGGCCGCCTCATTATCTTGGCCAAGTAGACTATGTCTATTTACATCCCCTTCTCTCGTTCATTAGCCACTGGTTGTCTGCGAGAGGTGCCACCTGTTAGAGCACAGGCCTTGCGTTAGACCAACCCAACTTCAGATCCTGTTGCTGCCTCCATGGACCTACGATGCTATCCTGGGCAGTTTATTTGGTTTTGCCAAACTTGCTCTCTCATTTGTAAGTAAGGTAATATTATCTACACCATAGTATTGGTGCTGAACCAAAGTGGGTTCCCTCCTGGGGAGTTAAATCAGACTCTCCACCAGAAGCAGTTGTCTCACAAAGTAAAGTGTATTTGCGGCAAATAGGAGACCATGCGGAATGATTTCCAGAGTCATGGTGTCCTCAAACAAAGGGAAGCAGGGACATTTATTTGGGATGGGGAATGAATATTCAGAAGGGAGAGGTGGGAATTCTCTTGCGCAGCCTCAGTTGGAAAACATGCTTCCACACACACTGCAGGTGATGGTAACAAGGCCTAAGCTCCTCCTGGAGAGATCTCAGCATTAAAAATAAGGCAAAGGTCACAGGCACAGCTCTCGTGGGGAGGCCTGGTCTGGTTCAGGGTGGTTGGTGATGGCATCTCCTTAACATAACAAAAGGAAAAAGAATAATTTGAACAACAGTTAAAATATCCAACCCACACTTGAGTTCCTCTGGGTAACTAGTTGATGATAGTATCATTGCAAATTTAGTTTTTAATTCATTATGAACAAGAATGTACTGATTTAAATTACTGTAGATGAGATTGCAATACAAAAATATGAATTAATAAATATAACATTTATTAAAATTCTACTTTAATTCTCATATTATTATTTAGGACTAAAAATGAAAAATACTTTTAATTTTAAAAGAAATACTTTTAACTTGAATATTTCACAAGTTCGTTGCTAATCCTTATTTATTAAGAATTTTTAATATCCAATCTAAAATTTGGTTTTTAATCAGGAAGAACAAGATGGATGTCATAAAATACCACATCTATCTTAGCATTTTTAATTAAAAATATTTAATTTC